AAATATTTCTGGATCTTCTTCATTAAACTTAGGTAATTCTACATGTTTACTGTACTTAGAACTATTTGTACTATCTGGATTATTACTAGTGTTACCTTGCCCTGCTGCAATTCTCTGCTGTTCTAACCTGTTATTATTTTCAGCAATACTCTGCTGAATTTCTAATTGTCTAGTCTGCTGCTCGGTTTGCTTAGTTTGTTGCTCTGCTAGTCTTAACTGAGCCTCCAACTCAAGATGTTTTGTCTGGTTCTGCAACTCTAACCTCTGCTTGTCTGCTGCCAGCCTAGCCATTTCTAATTTAGTCTCCAACTCCAACTTTAAGATTGCCACCTGGTCACTTGACTCTTCTTCTAACTCTCCCAAACACTCTTCTTCAAGTCTCTCCTCCTCCACCAAGTGTGTGACAATCACTCTTAACACTTGAGCTTTCAACATTTTACTGGGAATAGCTAGGTTCAATTTATCAGCCAGCAATAACAAACCAGACTTCTTTAAGTCTTTAATTTTACCAAAATTTGGCAGATCTACCAGCGCAGCAACCTGATCCTCCATGGTTGGCTCAATAATCACAACTTACACTTGAAACAACACTGAAAATTATGCTTGGCCCCTGGCACAAGCTAAACACTTACCTCAAATCGTGAAGCGTTGAGAAGTTTTCACAGCAGCTCAGATTGAACAGATAATTTCACAGGCTTGATTAGGTGTCACTAGATAATCAGAAGAGTACCTAGGAAGGCAATTGCTATTAATAATTAGCACTGTTAATTGTACAACATTACAGGGAATTAAGGCTTATTCTCCCGGACACAGGCCCTCATTTGTTACCACCCTTGAGACTAAATAAGGTTCTTCTCCCCGCAGTGCAATAAAAGATAATAATAAATCGGCCTTGCCAACAACTGTCTAGGGGTAAATATAAATCACTGCATAAAAATGGAGAACAATATATTTATGCTAAGGGGGACAATCATAACAACACTTAAATGTATAATAACCAGAAATATTCTTCAGCATGCAAATCATAGAATAACCTCCTTATTGAGATATGAGCACTATCACTAAGACATGGATTAATTAGAGAGATATATACAATATGATCTAACCAGATAATTAACATTTATATGGGCTAAAATAACAGTGACCAAGGACTTAACTTAAAACACATCTTCACTCGACTTCAGCTGCCACGCTTCTGCCCACGCCTTGGACCGCAGGCCAAGCGTCTACCCAAAAATCAACTAACCGTCCACACAAAACATTGTGGAAAATCTAATAATAAAACGCAGCACTAATATTCAAAACATTGTTAAACTAAAGAATAGTAAACACTGGTACAACATTCTATATAATAATACAGAAACCAAATATGGGAATAATTTAAGGTGAAACTATAAACACTCAATTGACAACAATGTTCCCACACTGGCCATATCCCAAATATGGTCAACCGCCCACACGGAGAAACTACATGAGAAATTAACACCAAAAGCCTCACACAATATAATGTAACTCATGCACACTACTGCATGCTATAATATATATATATAACATACAAATCTATATCATACAACTAGATGCTATATTAAAGAACAAGACAATAAAGTAATATGAGAATCAAGAGTAATGCAGAATCCTAGTAAGATTCGTAACAAACTCAACACGTGTCATGAGGTAACTCAACACACGTGTCATGAGGTAACTCAACACACGTGTCATGAGGTAACTCAACACACGTGTCATGAGGTAACTCAACACACGTGTCATGAGGTAACTCAACACACGTGTCATGAGGTAACTCAACACATGTGTCATGAGGTAACTCAACACACGTGTCATGAGGTAACTCAACACACGTGTCATGAGGTAACACATGTGTCATGAGGTAACTCAACACAAGTGTTATGAGGTAACTCAACACGTGTCATGAGGTAACACATGTGTCATGAGGTAACTCAACACAAGTGTTATGAGGTAACTCAACACACGTGTCATGAGGTAACTCAACACACGTGTCATGAGGTAACTCAACACATGTGTCATGCGGTAACTCAACACGTGTCATGAGGTAACTCAACACACGTGTCATGAGGTAATACATGTGTCATGAGGTAACTCAACACAAGTGTTATGAGGTAACTCAACACACGTGTCATGAGGTAACTCAACACACGTGTCATGAGGTAACTCAACACACGTGTCATGAGGTAACTCAACACGTGTCATGAGGTAACTCAACACACGTGTCATGAGGTAACTCAACACGTGTCATGAGGTAACACATGTGTCATGAGGTAACTCAACACAAGTGTTATGAGGTAACTCAACACACGTGTCATGAGGTAACTCAACACATGTGTCATGCGGTAACTCAACACGTGTCATGAGGTAACTCAACACACGTGTCATGAGGTAACACATGTGTCATGAGGTAACTCAACACAAGTGTTATGAGGTAACTCAACACACGTGTCATGAGGTAACTCAACACGTGTTATGAGGTAACTCAACACATGTGTCATGCGGTAACTCAACACGTGTCATGAGGTAACTCAACACACGTGTCATGAGGTAACACATGTGTCATGAGGTAACTCAACACAAGTGTTATGAGGTAACTCAACACACGTGTCATGAGGTAACTCAACACGTGTTATGAGGTAACTCAACACATGTGTCATGCGGTAACTCAACACGTGTCATGAGGTAACTCAACACACGTGTCATGAGGTAACACATGTGTCATGAGGTAACTCAACACAAGTGTTATGAGGTAACTCAACACACGTGTCATGAGGTAACTCAACACGTGTTATGAGGTAACTCAACACATGTGTCATGCGGTAACTCAACACGTGTCATGAGGTAACTCAACACACGTGTCATGAGGTAACACATGTGTCATGAGGTAACTCAACACAAGTGTTATGAGGTAACTCAACACACGTGTCATGAGGTAACTCAACACGTGTTATGAGGTAACTCAACACATGTGTCATGCGGTAACTCAACACGTGTCATGAGGTAACTCAACACGTGTCATGAGGTAACTCAACACACGTGTTATGAGGTAACACATGTGTCATGAGGTAACTCAACACACGTGTCATGAGGTAACTCAACACGTGTCATGAGGTAACTCAACACACGTGTCATGAGGTAACTCAACACATGTGTCATGAGGTAACTCAACACATGTGTCATGAGGTAACTCAACACGTGTCATGAGGTAACTCAACACATGTGTCATGAGGTAACTCAACACGTGTCATGAGGTAACTCAACACATGTGTCATGAGGTAACTCAACACATGTGTCATGAGGTAACTCAACACACGTGTCATGAGGTAACTCAACACACGTGTCATGAGGTAACTCAACACACGTGTCATGAGGTAACTCAACACGTGTCATGAGGTAACACATGTGTCATGAGGTAACTCAACACGTGTCATGAGGTAACACATGTGTCATGAGGTAACTCAACACACGTGTCATGAGGTAACTCAACACGTGTCATGAGGTAACACATGTCATGAGGTAACTCAACACACGTGTCACGAGGTAACTCAACACGTGTCATGAGGTAACACATGTGTCATGAGGTAACTCAACACACGTGTCATGAGGTAACTCAGCACACGTGTCATAAGGTAACTCAACACATGTGTCATGAGGTAACTCAACACATGTGTCAGGAAGGTAACTCAACACACGTGTCATGAGGTAACTCAACACGTGTCATGAGGTAACACATGTGTCATGAGGTAACTCAACACATGTGTCATGAGGTAACTCAACACATGTGTCATGAGGTAACTCAACACACGTGTCATGAGGTAACTCAACACATGTGTCAGGAAGGTCAGCCGTATACATAGGCTTACTATGAACGTCGCCAGTCATTATATATGTTAAGTTTTAACAAGCGCAGTTACACCTCTTAAGAACCGCTGGAGAAAGTGCACAGAAAACGGAGGAAAATTAAATCTTGTGTCGACATAAGGAAAAAATTATCATGTCTTGTCGAGTAAAAGCAGTTAAGTGCAAAAATATACATTTCACTTCTCATTGTCTCACTGGAGAGTGCCAGCAATGTCTGCCTGATTTGAAGCGTATTAACATAAAAACAATGTCAGCTGTGTAAACATTAAGTCTGAAGATTTGCAGGGTTCCGCGAGCCTTAAGGCTACAGCTGACCAGGCGATGGGTTTGAGCTTAACGCTTATCGACCCTCCAGACTTATCTGGAAGTCTTGAGGGTTATTGACGCCTAAGGTTTCAAAACGTCAAGAAAAAGGTTACTTTAAAGTGTCCTCTCCTAAGCAGGCGATGAGTTACAATAACGTGGCTGAAGTATGTTGACCAGACTACACACTAGAAGTTGAAGGGACGACGACGTTTCGGTCCGTCCTGGACCATTCTCAAGTCGATTGTCTGGAAGTCTGGAGGGTTAATCGGCTTGAGAATGGTCCAGGACGGACCGAAACGTCGCCGTCCCTTCAACTTCTAGTGTGTGGTCTGGTCAACGTCCTCTCCTAACCTAACAGACTAAGCCAGAGGACCCAAAACAGAAAACGGGACAGTATGTCACTTTCGCCAGTCGCTTCCGTTCTCTAGTACGACGATTTTTGGCCTTAGTTACGCATACGAGCCAAAAGCGACGTTCTTTGTAAGCAGACAAGTTGTATTAACGCCGTCATACTAGTTTACCGACCAACCAGCAAGTATACTTTACATGAAAGTAAACTCAATGTATATAGAAGCGGGGTACACCTATCAATGTAATAATCCCTTGAGCCAATTTAGATAATTTACACTAGGATACTATTAAGCAGACGAGGAGTCACAATAACGTGGCTGAAATATGTTGACCAGACCACACACTAGAAATTGAAGGGACGACGACATTTCGGTCCGTCCTGGACCATTCTCAAGTCAATTGTGAATAATAATATATTATTAAATCTTACTGAAGTCTTGAAGGTGAACGTAAACAAATTTGTTCAAAAATACTTTATTGACACGGAGAACAGGGCGTCACGGCTAAGTGGTTGTCTCATCTCTTAGTCACATCGCCTTACTTCCCTCTCTCGCGTCTGCCGTATTCTACAAAATGACAATAATCTATTACAATAATCAATACATGACAAATTAGAAACTTTTATGTTGCATTGTCTCGTAATTTACTTTCCTTATAATTGTATTTGTTTGCCCATGCATCGGAAGACGTAACAGAGTTTCTTGGTCACAAACGTTAATCTCAGTGAAGCATGAACAGTTTTATGCCAGTCACATAACTAGTTATCGTCCGCTGATTTATTAAAACTCAGTTACACTGTGAAACTGTACACTGTTCCTTGACTGATGTCTTCCTGTGTATAACTGGTGACTGTTCCTTGACTGATGTCTTCCTGTATATAACTGGTGACTGTTCCTTGACTGATGTCTTCCTGTATATAACTGGTGACTGTTCCTTGACTGATGTCTTCCTGTGTATAACTGGTGACTGTTCCTTGACTGATGTCTTCCTGTGTATAACTGGTGACTGTTCCTTGACTGAGTCTTCCTGTGTATAACTGGTGACTGTTCCTTGACTGAGTCTTCCTGTATATAATTGGTGACTGTTCCTTGACTGAAGTCTTCCTTTATATAACTGGTGACTGTTCCTTGACTGATGTCTTCCTGTATATAACTGGTGACTGTTCCTTGACTGATGTCTTCCTGTATATAACCGGCCACTGTACCTTGACTGAAGTCTCGGTTTATGATAGTAATATATCGAAAGTCAGTTCCCTGAACTATGTGTTATGAAAATATTGGTTCGATGGAATGGATATATAAACTATACACTGATAAATATTTGCAAATTAAATAGCTCTGAATTGATATGTTAAAAAGAGGTCAAATTTCTTTGTATAAATGAGGTATACCCAAAGTTTAATGCACTAGTTGGCGCACTAGGTTATATTTGGCATCTGTAATCTGCAATTAATCAAACTGCAGTAGTTTCCCCCTCCTCCGTGAGAATCTAAGCCTTTTTACTAACGAAAGAAGCATAGGGTAAACTATATATAGTTTCTGAATCTCTTATCGTTTTTCTTACGACGCAAGTTTGAGCTGCGAGTCAGCAGTCAATTTGTATGTATATTATAGTTCACCTCATTGGTTTTTAGCGTTTAAATTCTTTGTTTCACCGTTTTCTAAAAGGTTAGATATATGGCACAGTGGGTGGGTAGGGGGAAATAGCACCCCACTCTGCTTTGATGAGGTCTGCGGCCTTCTCTCCTATCATGATGATGGCAGCGTTGGGGTTGGCTGACACCACTATCGGCATGATGGAAGCGTCAACCACACGCAGCCCACTCACGCCTCGAACCCTGAAATATAACAACACATTTTGAGATATATACAAGAGTTGTTACATTCTTGTTCAGCCACTAGTACGCGTAGCGTTTCGGGCAAGTCCTTAATCCTATGGTCCCTGGAATACGATCCCCTGCCGCGAAGAATCGTTTTTTCATCCAAGTACACATTTTACTGTTGCGTTAAACAGAGGCTACAGTTAAGGAATTGCGCCCAGTAAATCCTCCCCGGCCAGGATACGAACCCATGACATAGCGCTCGCGGAACGCCAGGCGAGTGTCTTACCACTACACCACGGAGACTATGTACCCTCATGAAACATCCTCACCAGGCCCAGTCACGTCGCCTAGCCTTACTCATTCTTACTTAGACCATTCAGCTACTCTTAGTTTCCATCAGGCACCATTCCTCTGACTCTTCTTGCTACACAAAGACACATCGGTACACATGAATACTCCCAAACCTCCTGGGTGCTTTCTGACCAATCCACACACTAGAAAGTGAAGGGACGACGACGTTTCGGTCTGTCCTGGACCCTTTCTCAAGTCGATTGTGAATGACTTGAGAATGGTCCAGGACGGATCGAAACGTCGTCGTCCCTTCACTTTCTAGTGTGTGGTTTGGTCAACATATTTCAGCCACGTTATTGTGACTCCTCGTCTGGGTGCTTCTACACTCATTTTTCTGTAGTCTACTACAAATGGCTACTAACTTAGCCTACTCTCCAACTTTACTACTAGCAGTAGTCTTTCCGGAAGTAGCCTCGACCATCTGGACCAACATGCTTCGTTTGACTTGCCAAAACTGTACTAGATTCACACCCTTATCAAACACCTAAGCAATCGTGTCGGTAAACACTTCGACTAGACCAGAGGTTCCTAATTCTGGAGATAATTCCCCTTTTCCCTGGGGATTATACCTTGGAGGTAATGTTAGGGTTTAAGGGGGGGGGGGGGAATTGTGACTACAGACTCAAATTGTTGGAATTTATTTTTCTACAAACTACAATTCTACAGATTGTGCAAAATCAACAGGCCGTCACACTCTATTCTATGTCAACCACGGGAGACATCTCCCGTCACGCAGGGCGCAACCGTACCTCCACAGATCTCCAGTATCATCTATTGATACTGGTAATGGCTCTAAAGGGCCACCACTTACGGGCTATTCATGCCCGTGCCACCTTTTGGGTGGCTTAATCTTCATCAATCAATCATCAATCTATGTCAAATTAAATGAAATATAAAGATAAACACTTCACATTTTTACCTATGGAAATATTGGGATGCAACTGTTGAACCGAACAATCTTGGAAAGGGGGGGGATAACATTCTGACATGGCTAACATTAACATGGTTTATGGTCAGAAAAGGGTGAGTCTGACATTGCTAACATTAACATGGTTTATGGTCAGAAAAGGGTGAGTCTGACATGGCTAACATTAACATGGTTTATGGTCAGAAAAGGGTGAGTCTGACATGGCTAACATTAACATGGTTTATGGTCAGAAAAGGGTGAGTCTGACATTGCTAACATTAACATGGTTTATGGTCAGAAAAGGGTGAGTCTGACATTGCTAACATTAACATGGTTTATGGTCAGAAAAGGGTGAGTCTGACATTGCTAACATTAACATGGTTTATGGTCAGAAAAGGGTGAGAACACCTGGTGTTAACCTTAATTCTTTGCGCAAGCTGGTGCCTGATCCACCTGGCCAAGCTGAAGACCGCTACTCACTTCAGAGCGTCACTACTTACTTGAGAGCGTCGCTACTTATTTGAGAGCGTCGCTACCTACTTGAGAGCGTCGCTACTCACTTCAGAGCGTCACTACTTACTTGAGAGCGTCGCTACTTATTTGAGAGCGTCGCTACCTACTTGAGAGCGTCGCTACTTAATTAAGAGCATCGCTACTTGAGAGCGTCGCTACTCACTTGAGAGCGTCACTACTTACTTGAAAGCATCGCTACTTACTTGAGAGCGTCGCTACCTACTTGAGAGCGTCGCTACTTAATTAAGAGCATCGCTACTTACTTGAGAGCGTCGCTACTCACTTGAGAGCGTCACTACTTGAGAGCGTCGCTACTCACTTGAGAGCGTCACTACTTACTTGAGAGCGTCGCTACTCACTTGAGAGCGTCGCTATCTACTTGAGAGCGTCGCTACTTAATTAAGAGCATCGCTACTTACTTGAGAGCGTCGCTACTTACTTGAGAGCGTCGCTACTTACTTGAGAGCGTCGCTACTTGAGAGCGTCGCTACTCGATTGAGAGCGTCGCTACTTACTTGAGAGCGTCACTACTTACTTGAGAGCGTCGCTACTTACTTGAGAGCATCGCTACTTACTTGAGAGCGTCGCTACTTGATCAAGAGCATCGCTACTTGAGGGCGTCGCTACTTACTTGAGAGCGTCGCTACTTGAGCGTCGCTACTTACTTGAGAGCATCGCTACTTACTTGAGAGCGTCGCTACTTGATCAAGAGCATCGCTACTTGATCAAGAGCATCGCTACTTGAGAGCGTCGCTACTTGAGAGCGTCGCTACTTGAGAGCGTCGCTACTTACTTGAGAGCGTCGCTACTTGAGAGCGTCGCTACTTACTTGAGAGCGTCGCTACTTGAGAGCGTCGCTACTTACTTGAGAGCATCGCTACTTGAGAGCGTCGCTACTTACTTGAGAGCGTCACTACTTACTTTAGAGCGTCGCTACTTACTTGAGAGCGTCACTACTTACTTTAGAGCGTCGCTACTTACTTGAGAGCGTCGCTACTTACTTGAGAGCGTCGCTACTTACTTGAGAGCGTCGCTACTTACTTGAGAGCATCGCTACTTGAGAGCGTCGCTACTTACTTGAGAGCGTCGCTACTTACTTGAGAGCGTCGCTACTTACTTGAGAGCGTCGCTACTTACTTGAGAGCGTCACTACTTAATTAAGAGCGTCGCTACTTACTTGAGAGCGTCGCTACTTACTTGAGAGAGTCGCTACTTACTTGAGAGCGTCACTACTTAATTAAGAGCGTCGCTACTTACTTGAGAGCGTCGCTACTTACTTGAGAGCGTCGCTACTTACTTGAGAGCGTCGCTACTTGAGAGCGTCGCTACTCACTTGAGAGCGTCGCTACCTACTTGAGAGCGTCACTACCTACTTGAGAGCGTCGCTACTTACTTGAGAGCGTCGCTACTTACTTGAGAGCGTCACTACTTACTTGAGAGCGTCGCTACTTACTTGAGAGCGTCACTACCTACTTGAGAGCGTCGCTACTTACTTGAGAGCGTCGCTACTTACTTGAGAGCGTCGCTACTCACTTGAGAGCGTCGCTACTTACTTGAGAGCATCGCTACTTGAGAGCGTCGCTACTTGAGAGCGTCGCTACTCACTTGAGAGCGTCGCTACCTACTTGAGAGCGTCACTACTTACTTGAGAGCGTCGCTACTCACTTGAAAGCGTCGCTACTTACTTGAGAGCTTCACTACTTGAGAGCGTCACTACTTACTTGAGAGCGTCACTACTTACTTGAGAGCGTCGCTACTCACTTGAAAGCGTCGCTACTTACTTGAGAGCTTCACTACTTGAGAGCGTCACTACTTACTTGAGAGCGTCACTACTTACTTGAGAGAGTCGCTACACACTTGAGAGCGTCGCTACACACTTGAGAGCGTCGCTACTCCCTTGAGAGCGTCGCTACTCACTTGAGAGAGTCGCTACTCACTTGAGAGAGTCGCTACTCACTTGAGAGCGTCGCTACTTACTTGAGAGCGTCACTACTTACTTGAGAGCGTCGCTACTTACTTGAGAGCGTCACTACTTGAGAGCGTCACTACTTACTTGAGAGCGTCGCTACTTACTTGAGAGCGTCACTACTTGAGAGCGTCGCTACTTACTTGAGAGCGTCGCTACTTACTTGAGAGCGTCACTTCTCCCTTGAGAGCGTCGCTACTTACTTGAGAGCGTCGCTACTTACTTGAGAGCGTCGCTACTTACTTGAGAGCGTCGCTACTCCCTTGAGAGCGTCGCTACTTGAGAGCGTCACTACTTGAGAGCGTCGCTACTCACTTGAGAGCGTCGCTACCTACTTGAGAGCGTCGCTACTTACTTGAGAGCGTCACTACTTACTTGAGAGCGTCACTACTTACTTGAGAGCGTCGCTACTTACTTGAGAGCGTCACTACTCCCTTGAGAGCGTCGCTACTTACTTGAGAGCGTCACTACTCCCTTGAGAGCGTCGCTACTTACTTGAGAGCGTCACTACTCCCTTGAGAGCGTCGCTACTTACTTGAGAGCGTCACTACTCCCTTGAGAGCGTCACTACTTACTTGAGAGCGTCACTACTTACTTGAGAGCGTCACTACTTGAGAGCGTCGCTACTCACTTGAGAGCGTCGCTACTCACTTGAGAGCGTCGCTACTCACTTGAGAGCGTCGCTACTCACTTGAGAGCGTCGCTACTCACTTGAGAGCGTCGCTACTTACTTGAGAGCGTCGCTACTTACTTGAGAGCGTCACTACTTACTTGAGAGCGTCACTACTCCCTTGAGAGCGTCGCTACTTACTTGAGAGCGTCACTACTTACTTGAGAGCGTCGCTACTTACTTGAGAGCGTCGCTACTCACTTGAGAGCGTCGCTACTTACTTGAGAGCGTCGCTACTTACTTGAGAGCGTCACTACTTACTTGAGAGCGTCGCTACTTACTTGAGAGCGTCGCTACTCACTTGAGAGCGTCGCTACTTACTTGAGAGCGTCACTACTTACTTGAGAGCGTCGCTACTTACTTGAGAGCGTCGCTACTCACTTGAGAGCGTCACTACTTACTTGAGAGCGTCGCTACTCACTTGAGAGCGTCGCTACTTACTTGAGAGCGTCGCTACTTACTTGAGAGCGTCGCTACTCGCTTGAGAACGTCGCTACTTACTTGAGAGCTTCACTACTTGAGAGCGTCGCTACTCACTTGAGAGCGTCGCTACTCACTTGAGAGCGTCGCTACTTACTTGAGAGCTTCACTACTTGAGAGCGTCACTACTTACTTTAGAGCGTCACTACTTACTTTAGAGCGTCACTACTTACTTGAGAGCTTCACTACTTGAGAGCGTCACTACTTACTTGAGAGCGTCGCTACCTACTTGAGAGCGTCGCTACTTACTTGAGAGCGTCGCTACTTACTTGAGAGCGTGGTCGACGACGCCGTACGGGTCGGATCCAGGCGCCATCTTGCAGGAGCCGGCGAAGTGGTAGGTGGTGGATGTGAGGTGACGTACCAGACACTCCCAGTACGGGTCCGACTCAGGTACCAGGTGTTCGCATCCCGGCACCACCTGTGGGGGGGAGGGGGGGGGGTCATGAGGTACCACCTGTGGGGGGGGAGGGGGGGTCATGAGGCTCGTTTGGTCTTGGGCAGGAAGTCCTTCAACCTCTTGGCAGAGGGTTGTTCAGGCCTATCAGCCTCTGGAGGGTTATTAAGGTCTATCAAACCTTTGGAGGGTTATTAAGGTCTATCAAACCTCTGGAGGGTTATTAAGGTCTATCAAACCTCTGAAGGGTTATTAAGGTCTATCAAACCTCTGGAGGGTTATTAAGGTCTATCAAACCTCTGAAGGGTTATTAAGGTCTATCAAACCTCTGGAGGGTCATTAAGGCCTATCAAACCTCTGGAGGGTCATTAAGGCCTATCAACCTCTGGAGGGTTATTAAGGTCTATCAACCTCTAGAGGGTTATTAAGGCCTATCAAACCTCTGGAGGGTTATTAAGGTCTATCAACCTCTGGAGGGTTATTAAGGTCTATCAACCTCTGGAGGGTTATTAAGGTCTATCAACCTCTGGAGGGTTATTAAGGCCTATCAAACCTCTGGAGGGTTATTAAGGTCTATCAACCTCTGGAGGGTTATTAAGGAATATCAACCTCTGGAGGGTTATTAAGGAATATCAACCTCTGGAGGGTTATTAAGGCCTATCAACCTCTGGAGGGTTATTAAGGCCTATCAACCTCTGGAGGGTTATTAAGGAATATCAACCTCTGGAGGGTTATTAAGGCCTATCAACCTCTGGAGGGTTATTAACAAATCGCCAATTATTCTTAACTAATGAACATAGTCCAGGATTAAAAGTAATCTCTCGGTGTATATACACCAAGAAACAGGGTACGTCTCTTGGCGAATATACACTGTGAAATGTATATACAACTGTGGCTGGAAATGCAGAATACATTTCCGGGGGCGGGGGGGGGGAAGGGATGTGTGATAGCCCTAAGCACAAAACACAAGATAATACACTCAACACTGTGAATACAACTAAAATATACTCAAGATATATAGATTAAGAATGCTAAATTTTAGACCTACTTAAAATTCATTAATAATATGCATGATTTACCAAAACAATTAATAACAGGAAACAATGTAAAGGAGGAAATGTATATGTTTATCTCTCAGAATGTTTGGTAATATGTTTATTGTTTGTGATGTGTGTCTATGTATGTATTAACACGATGTACTGAACGGGGTGAGAATAGCTTGAGCTACCTCATCCCTTTGTGTGTATTTTACCTCAATAACCTTATTTCAATTTTAATTAATAACATACGAGGGGAAATAAAGGACAAAAAGTGAGAACACAATCAGTGACACAGATAAGGGAGGACGGGTCGGTTACCTTGTCGTGGAAGCGAGCGCCGAAGCCATCAGCCATGGCCGGAGTGTTGCCCACTGCTAACGCGAACTTCACACCTGTTTAGTGAGACGTTCAGGTTAATACCTGGAGCCTGGAGGGATGCTGAACAAATCCACAAGGGCCGTGACGAGGGTTCGAACCTACGTCCGAGATGATCCCAGACGCTGCCTTAATCGACTGAGCTACGACATGGTTAAAATCATTGCAACCGGGAAATCATTCTGACTTATTCTCGGACGTATTTTCGAAGCCTCGTCACGGCCCTTGTGGATTTGATGCATCACGCTGTTATGTGTGTGGAGGGATGCTGTATTGGTGGAGGTCTGAGACTACAGTGTAGTCGTCCACCTCCACCCACAGTGTAGTCACTACACTAGGAGGTAAAGAGGGATGGAGGAGGCACAGAAGAATTGTTGGGAGGTTCTGGGGGAAAGCAGAGCTTGGGAGAAGGTGAGAGAGTGGTAAAGGGGACGCGATGAAGGTTAGGCTGGGATTTTATATTTATATATTCACTTATATATACAAGAGTTCTTACATTCTTGAAGAAAGCTGCGGCAGGGAAGGGAGGAAGATTGTAATATTTTTTTTTTTTGAGATATATACAAGAGTTGTTACATGGTTGTAGAGCCACTAGTACGCGTAGCGTTTCGGGCAGGTCCCTGGAATACGATCCCCGCCAGCGAAGAATCGTTGTTACAACCAAGTACACATTTTACTGTTGAGTTAAACAGAGGCTACAGTTAAGGATTTGCACCCAGTAAATCCTCCCCGGCCAGGATACGAACCCATGACAAAGCGCTCGCGGAACGCCAGGCGAGTGTCTTACCACTGCACCACGGAGACTGGTAAACTCTATTCCATATATTCGTATTTCCTAACTCATTACCAGGAAGCATGACAAAGCATCCATTATAAACATCTAGGATTAAGATTAGTGAATTAAGTACCATCCACCTTCAAGACAGCTTAGTTACCCTTGATCTCCGTCACACAGAAAACGGAAGCTTGGTCATCGTATCTTGCCTGACAACTTGTGTGTTTCCTTTGGAAATTGCACAATATTTATGAATTATTAAATAACAAAGACGAAGAGAACTCTGCTCCAACCTCAAGTGCATTTTAAAACCTTTTTCACGCCAAGTTCCTTACACACAAACACACAGGCGCTGGTGGCTGGGTAGACAGCACGCTGGAAACGTAATCCAGTGGACCGGGGTTCGATTCCCGGCGCCGGTGAGAAACAGAAATGGGCAGAGGTTCTTTCACCTTGATGCCCCCTGTTACCTAGCAGTAAATAGGTACATGGGAGTTAGACAGCTGCTACGGGCTGCTTCCTGGTGGTGTGTGTGCGTGTGTATGTTAGAGAGAAATATATGTAGTAGACATAATAGAGGAAAAATCAATTGGTTAGAAAGGCGGGGTCCAAGAGCTAATAGCTCAATTCTTCAGGCACAAATAGAAAATACACACAACCCGCACATACAGACCCACACACACACACAACACACACCAACCCACACACACACACACACACACACACACACACACACACACACACACACACACACACACACACACACACACACACACACACCAACCCAAACACTGAACCAGTCATGCTAAACACACACATCTTCACATACCTTTAATCAAGTTCCTGACGTCAGTGGGATGACTCAGGTAATTGGGATCAATGACGGGATGAACCATCGGGTCACTGGACTGGAGGGTGATTGACCCCCGGCTCCTGGCGCGGGTCAACATGGGGGCGATACTGAAGCCGTCTTGACCCCGAATAGGGAGGAAGTAGTCGTAGAAGAACTGTAAGAGGAGAAGTGAGAGAAGTGAGAGAAGTGTGAGTAGAGAGGTGTGAGAAGAGCTTCCGCATGAGAAAGCAACCCGTTCTCGCACTTGCTTATAGTCAATATTGGCTTATTTAATAAGTGTATATGTGACATACTAATTGATTGTAAATATTTTAGATTTCCTTGAAAAGCTTCATAGAAAACACCGACCTCACCTAACCTTCTTAGTATGTTAAGATAAGCATCTTATTGCTTCTTAATTACAATTGTTACTTAATCTATACCGTTGATAGGTTAAGTAATAATTGTAAATAAGAAGATAATAAGAACGAGACAGATTGGTTTGAAGAAGTTGTGTAGTGAGAGAATTTTAATGTATGAATTTTAACGTAGAGGGAGAATGTAGAGGGACATTAATTTTAATATATAAAATATGGGCATAAAAATTTGCAAATAAGATTAGTTCATAGAGACACAAGTATGTATTGCAGACAGATACGGAAGTACAGTGAGTTTAGATATCAGCGAAAACACAATAATAAAAATTAGGGAGTAACTCGTATGCAGGCGAGGAGTCACAATAACGTGGCTGAAGTATGTTGACCAGACCACACACTAGAAGGTGAAGGGACGACGACGTTTCGATCCGTCCTGGACCATTCTCAAATCGATTGTGAATGGTCCAGGACGGGCCGGAACGTCGTCGTCCCTTCACCTTCTAGTGTGTGGTCTGGTCAACAGGGAGTAACTCGATAATTGAATAAATAGAAAGATCAGTGATAGGAAGAAGTGGAAACCTTTGTAGAAAGATGCATTTAATTCCATCAACTTAAGTACGTAAAGGAATCTAATTCACACTGGAGACAGACACGAATGCAACTTGCATCTTTAATTTCAAGATAAATAAGATTGTAATTTAAGACATTGGAAGGTTATGTAGTCGTATACTGTAGATGTTCAAGGTGTTCTGTATTTTTGTTAAAGTAGTGAAATTACCTTAGAAAATTAAACTGAATAGATTTAATCAATACAATACAATACAATTTTATTTAGGTAAGGTACATACATACAATAAATATTTACAAGGATTGTTTGACTTATAGGTAGAGCTAGTACATACAATGCCTAAAGCCACTATTACGCAAAGCGTTTCGAGCATATCATATCGTATCATATCATATCATATCGGGCATTTCGTTTCAATCATATCCAATCAGTGTTTAATCATATCCAATCAGTGTTTAATCATATCCAATCAGTGTTTAATCATATTCAATCAGTGTTTAATCATATCCAATCAGTGTTTTAATCTGGGAAATGTGTTTCGGTATTGAGGAAAATGGATTTAACTTTATCCCAAAGTTCCAAATGTAAGTTTATATAAAACAATCAGATTTCTATCTGAAGCTTAACATTATGACAACCAATGACAATCGTAAACAATTCGAGTGTCAGTTGGGTATAGCAATTATGTTGTTAAACCAATCAGAAGCTTACCTGTCGGTCGTAGCCAATCAGGTCTGGTATAGAGATGCCGTTGTCGAACATGGCTGTGCCAGATATGAAGAGGAACTGCAGCTCGGGCCAGTAAGGGTCCCCTTCGTCAGACTCTATCCAGGCGTGGGCCTCGATGCCGATGGGGGTGGCGAAGGGGCCTGTGGAGACCGTAGGGAAGATCAGTTCTCACGAGGAGAATAGGGAAGGGGGGAGAAGGTATAGTGTGTTTACTAGTTGTGTTTTTGCGGGGGTTGAGCTTTGCTCTTTCGGCCCGCCTCTCAACTGTTTTACTAACTACTTTTTTTTTCCCACACCACACACACACATCAGTGTGGAATGTGATTCCACAGGAATCAGTGTGGAAATAGACGCGGGGAATGGGGCATTTTGGGGGGAGGGAATGAATGAGGAATGGGGAGTCGAGGTCTAAGAGGTGGAAGAGCAACAGAAATCAGCGAGTCTTCCTCACACACCCAAGCGAACCTAAACTACATCATCCAAATGTCAACAAACTATTATATACGAGTCGACAGAAGGTCGAGAGACAGAGTCCAAGCACTGGAGCTCATCCGTACATGATCTGAACCACTTGAGTACACCACACCATCGGTGGATTCCCCCCAAAACTGACCTTTTCTCCTGAAGATGTAATCGGCGAGCGAGGAAGGTCTGGCCAGAGTGAGGAAGCTGATGGTGGACCCGGGGGAGGTGGTCCAGGACAGACCGAAGATGGAGGCGTGGTCTTGGAGGTTGAGGCCCACTCCTGGTACGTCGGCCACCACTGGTACCTGCGGTATGGTTAAGTTCTACATGACGTAGTTCGCCCAAGCTTGTCTTTCTGAGTGTAAGAAGGGTATACGGTACCTCTGTCAGAACGGTATCCAGCACCTACCTGATTGTCGGAACGGTATACAGTACCTCCCTGATTGTCGGAACGGTATACAGTACCTCCCTGATTGTCGGAACGGTATACAATACCTCCCTGATTGTCAGAACGGTATACAGTACCTCCCTGATTGTCAGAACGGTATACAGTACCTCCCTGATTGTCGGAACGGTATATAGTACCTCCCTGATTGTCAGAACGGTATCCAGTACCTCCCTGATTGTCAGAACGGTATACAGTACCTCCCTGATTGTCAGAACGGTATCCAGTACCTCCCTGATTGTCAGAACGGTATACAGTACCTCCCTGATTGTCAGAACGGTATACAGTACATTCCTGATTGTCAGAACGGTATCTAGTACCTCCCTGATTGTCAGAACGGTATACAGTACCTCCCTGATTGTCGGAACGGTATATAGTACCTCCCTGATTGTCGGAACGGTATACAGTACCTCCCTGATTGTCAGAACGGTATACAGTACCTCCCTGATTGTCAGAACGGTATACAGTACCTCCCTGATTGTCAGAACGGTATCTAGTATCTCCCTGATTGTCAGAACGGTATCCAGTACCTCCCTGATTGTCAGAACGGTATACAGTACCTCCCTGATTGTCAGAACGGTATCCAGTACCTCGCTAGGTTAGGTATCAACTTAGGGTGTATTACGCCGGGTGAGTTGGATATAGTTAAGTTTAAAAATCCGTTGGTGAATCTTGTGATGTGACCTGAATGTCTGTCTCTGGGACACACGGGGGAGTATAGCAGCAGTAGAGGACACGAGACATTAATATGTCCAGTTTTGGACAGCTGCCGTTTTCAGTTGCACCTATTTTTGAACTACGTGGCTGTGTTGAAATCCAGGATTTGGTGTGAACAAAGTACGAGTTTCACGGTTAGTATATAATACTTACATACACGTATGTGTGTGTGTATTAGAGAGAAACAAGGGTATACTCACACCATGTTGCTGGAGGTGGCTGGCCGGTCCAACACCGGACAGCATGAGTATGTGAGGTGAGGATATCGCTCCACCACTCACTATAACCTCCCGTTTCACCAGCGCCATCTTCATCTGTCTCGACCATAAACAAATTAAAAAATTAAAAAAAATCAAAATTCAAAATGTTTATTCAGGTAAAAGTACATACAATATCTAAAAACACTAATACGCATAGCGTTTTGGGCAATTATTTAATAAATTATTAAATGAAGGAATACGTATTTAACAAATTATTTAATAAACTCAGAAATTTACTAAATAACGAATAAATTTATTGCCTAATAAATAGTTTGGGTGTTGAGACCCTTTTCATATTAATGACTTTATTTAATATATAATTTCAATAACTACTAATTAACCACAGTACTGTGTTCTATCTATATATATTATTTTTATTGTAATTATTATTAAGATCAGAAAAAGAGTTATGGTACAAATTTATTCCATAAAATGTTTATCGATTTTAATATTTACATAGAAAAGGTGATAAGAGCCTTTCAGGGGCTTAGAGACAAAGTACAGCCTTTCAGAGTCCTGGACAATGTTCAGGACTAAGGTATACTTATTGGCTGGTCAGTAAGCTATTGTGGTGGCCTAATAACCCTCCAGAGATTGATAGACCTTAATAACCCTCCAGAGGTTGACAGGCCTTAATAACCCTCCAGAGATTGATAGACCTTAATAACCCTCCAGAGGTTGATAGGTCTTAATAACCCTCCAGAGGTTGACAGGCCTAATAAACCTCCAGAGATTGATAGACCTTAATAACCCTCCAGAGGTTGATAGGTCTTAATAACCCTCCAGAGATTGATAAACCTTAATAACCCTCCAGAGGTAGATAGGCCGTAAATAACCCTCCAGAGGTTGATAGACCTTAATAACCTTCCTAAAGTAGATAGGCCTTAATAACCCTCCTAAAATAGATAGGCCTTAATAACCCTCCAGAGGTGGATACGCCATAATAACCCTCCAGAGGTAGCGAAGGACTAAGCCCAACACCAAGTCTAAGGAAGTGTCGCCAGGTAAGATAAGCTGGAGGAAGAGTCTTAAGCAAGTGTACAGCACCTCGACCCCGTTACGGGCTCACCATAGCCCGTGCTACTTTGAAACTTTTGTTCTAAGTAACTGAATCTAAAAGAACAACAAGCCTCGACCCCCCCCCCACACTCACCTCGCCCTTGTGGACGAAGCGGACTCCCACAGCGCGCTTGTTCTCGTCGAATATAATCTGTCAGGAAATAGGACACAAACACCATTGAATAAACAATAAAAATTAACCAAATCTCATCATTTTTTTTGTAATAGAGCAAATCGCAAAATTGTCTGTCTAATTACTTGATGATTTTGTGAAGCAAGGACGAAATTACAGAAGAATAAAAAAAATTAGATCAATATTAAAAAATCTTATATTTTGCTTTGAAGATACAAAATGTATATATATATATAATTTTATGTTAAAACTCGGAAGAACACCGCGACTTTTAAAAGTGGAAAATAAATACTTTAGTCTATGCAATAAATTTTGTTTTCTTCGTACTTAATGGAAAGAAAGAAAATGAAATTTACTTGAGGGGTAACAATAGTTTTTATTTATTGCACTGCGTACGGTACAGTTCCCATTGGCTGGAGAAATGGGCTGGACAGCGCTGAAACTCCATCTGTATGTGCGTTACCTACATGCTGAATGCTGATGATGACTGACCTGGGTCACATGGGCGTTGGTAACGACGTGAAGATTCTGACGTTCAGCGGCGGGTTTGAGATACGCTTCCGCACTGGTCCAGCGCCATCCATCCTTTATAGTCATGTCCGGGACGCTGAAGCCTTGGAGGGAGGAGGATAAGGCGCCCTTGAGTTATGGAGGAAGTTAATCCTCTCATAAAGCTTCACCCAACACCACCCCCCCAAGTATACCACCCCACACCCTGCCACACGCCTCAGGTATCCCATCCATCACACAGGCCCCCAATTATACCAATGCACACGCTTTTATACAGACGACATGGTTCTCCCATTGTTAGAAGAGATTACCCTAGATGAAAGACTATCAGCAGAGGTGACAGCAGAGGAGGTAATGAAACAGTTGACAACACTGGATGCAACTAAAGCGGTTGGACCAGACAAAGTATCACCGTGGATACTGAAAGAGGCAGCGCAGGCCCTCAGCGTGCCTCTGGCAATGATCTTTATGAGTCACTTATGTCGGGAGAATTGCCCAGTTGCTGGAAGGAGGCAAATGTCGTACCGATTTTCAAGAAAGGTGATAGGGAGGAGGCACTTAACTACAGACCCGTATCACTGACAAGCATCCCCCCTCCACCACACACACTCCATAACCACATTGGCTGCCACTTACCAATCATGTGTGGACCATTTGGGTCAATAATGTGGTACCCCAACTGCTGAGCAGCGTCCAGGAAGCCAGTAAGTATGGGAGAGTACCAGCCTTTATCCTCAACACTCAGAGGGCCTCCAAACCCATGGTACTCGGCTGGAAAAAAAAATAATTTAATATATACAATAAGTTGTATAGGTCAGGGGTTGTTCAGGACTGACGAAAAGAACAAAAGCTACTGTATAATAAGAACATAAGAACAAAGGTAACTGCAGAAGGCGTATTGGCCCATACGAGGCAGCTCTTATCTATAGCCACCCAATTGCCATAATACCGTCCCATAGGTCTTGCCAAAGTACTTTGCTTTCTCAATATTGCAACATTTTCATACGTGATATTGCGGGTTATTGTTAGTTCCATGAAAGTGCTTTTGTAGACACCAATAATCCAGTAAGAAAATGTGTCATGTCATATTACAAGTATAAGACGGATCAAGTACAGCTTGAGTGAAAAAAGATAGGTAAAGTTAAAAAAAAAAAACTGGATTTTTATTTCAGTACAAAAAAATGAAAGCAAGTTTGTATGTACTGGATATGATGACTGCGCTTACAGGGCGTGGCAAGAATATTATCATGACTGTCCAGTTACAGGGTGGAGCAATAATGTTCTCGCGAGTGACCATATTGAAGGTATAACGATTATATTCTAACTTTGAAATGTGTCGCACAAATGTGAACTAAATTATTACACGAGACGGTAACGCATTTCTCTCAGTTGCGAACTGCTTGTCACTCGTCCACAGCTGTATCAGAGAATATTACTCTTTACTCTAAGTGTCTTGTGAAGATTTTAAGGGTGTTGGATTGTTTCGGTCTCTCTCTCTCTCTCTCTCTCTCTCTCTCTCTCTCTCTCTCTCTCTCTCTCTCTCTCTCTCTCTCTCTCTCTCTCTCTCTCTCTCTCCTCTCTCTCTCTCTATCTCTCTACCCCCCCCCCCTCTCTCCCCCCCCTCTCTCTCCCTCTCTCTCTCTCTCTCTCTCTCTCTCTCTCTCTCTCTCCTCTCTCTCTCTCTCTCTCTCTCTCTCTCTCTCTCTCTCTCTCTCTCTCTCTCTCCCTCCCCCCCCCTCTCCCCCCCCTCTCTCTCTCTCCTCTCTCTCTCTCTCTCTCTCTCTCTCTCTCTCTCTCTCTCTCTCTCTCTCTCTCTCTCTCTCTCTCTCTCTCTCTCTCTCTCTCTCTCTCTCTCTCTCCTCTCTCTCCCCCCCCCTCTCTCCCTCTCTCTCTCTCTCTCTCTCTCTCTCTCTCTCTCTCTCTCTCTCTCTCTCTCTCTCTCTCTCTCTCTCTCTCTCTCTCTCTCTCTCTCTCTCTCTCTCTCTCCCCCCCCCTCTCTCTCTCTCTCTCTCTCTCTCTCTCTCTCTCTCCCTCTCTCTCCCTCTCTCTCCCTCTCTCTCCCTCTCCCTCTCTCCCTCTCTCTCTCCTCTCTCTCCTCTCTCTCTCTCTCTCTCTCTCTCTCTCTCTCTCTCTCTCTCTCTCTCTCTCTCTCTCTCTCTCTCTCTCTCTCTCTCTCTCTCTCTCTCTCTCTCTCTCACCAAGGACAAGCTCTCCTCATGTCGACGACTTCAACATTTTTTGCTGCGACAAATTGATCTCTCTCTCTCTCCTAATCATTCGTTCCTCTTTTCGCATTGACATTCTCAAATTCTAACTTTATCCGTCATTCCTTCAGCGATGGAATTCCACTTACGATGCAACAGCTGCTGGCCATCACAGATAAAAAAAACTTCAAATTACAATATATGTAGTAGACAGAACCCGCTGTCCAAGGAACAATGACCTTAACACAACCGGAGCTCAACATACCGTCTTCAGACATGGGCTGAGTGACAGCCACACCAATATACACCTAATAGTTCCATCCTACCGGTTCGTGAGCCTAATAGGCTCGGGGATCTGTACACCGGTTGATTGACAGTTGAGAGGCAGGCGGGACCAAAGAGCCGAAGCTCAACCCCCGCAAGCACAACTAGATGAGTACCAGGGGGCCAGATTCACGAAGCAGTTACGCAAGCACTTACGAACGTGTACATCTTTCCTCAATCTTTGACGGCTTTGGTTACATTTATTAAACAGTTTACAAGCATGAAAACTTGCCAATCAACTGTTGTTATTGTTATAAACAGCCTCCTGGTGCTTCGGAGCTCATTAACTGTTTAATAAGTGTAAACAAAGCCACCAAAGGTTGAGGAAAGATGTACAGGTTCGTAAGTGTTTGTGTAACTGCTTCGTGAATCTGGCCCCTGGGCCTGAGCACTGAGGCACAGAACTGCTGCTCTGTTGTTATTGATGCAGTCAAGTCAAGCAGTGAAGAGAGGTGTATTTCAGAGAGCGGGAGAGATTAGGTAAAGAAAGAGAGGGATACAAAGAAGGGGAGAGAGAGGGGGGAGGAATACAAAGAAAGAGCTGGGAGAGAGGGAGAGAATGCAAACGAAAGATATAAAGGTGGGGGGGGGGAGGGAATAGAAGAAAGTAGGAGTAGAGTAAGAAAGTAAGTAAGAGTTTACACTCCTGTGGATCTACACAGGAGTGTAAACTAAACAGCTTCCGTCCCCCATCTATGCACTCGCATTGGCTTGATGCTTCCTCCTGATAATGACCTTACCCCCTCCCCTCTCGTGCGGTCACGGCCCTCCCCTCGTGCGGGCACGGCCCTCCCCTCGTGCGGGCACGGCCCTCCCCTCGTGCGGGCACGGTTTCCCCTCGTGCGGGCAAGGCCCTCCACTCGTGCGGGTACGGCCCTTTCCTCGTGCCCATCGTGCCGCATCGCCAAAGAAAACTCACGAGTACAAACCACGAGTAACAGTCTCGTGTTCAACAGTTTTCCTGTTGGAGCAACTGTCGCTCTCCGATAGTATTTTGTCACGCTCGCTGTTATCGCGAGTTGCTTCATGTGTCGCCTTTCCTTCTGGCTGAATGTCGCCCCTTTCACTCTGGAAGATATCGCCCCTTTCACTCTGGAAGATATCGTCCCTTTCACTCTGGAAGATATCGCCTCTTTTAATCTCTGGATTATATCTTTATTAACTCTGTAGCATAGCCTGAAGGGGGAGGGCCCTGGTCGAGAACTGGGCCGCGGGGACGTTGAACCCCGAAATCATTGCAAGATAGCTCCATCATCTCTGGGGCTGATGGATATATATATATATATATAGACCCAATATACCTGGGTAAAAAATGGGTTAGAAATAGTGGTGTTGATTTAGGAAACAAATTACCGGGCATCAGACGTGGGATCGATGGATTGTTTCAGGCGTAGGCTAGACACGTATTTGAACGAGTTTAGGTGGATTTAAGAAGAAACTGCTCCGCATTGGCCACTTAACCTGTACTGGTTATATCGCTTTAATGATACAGCTCCTTTCAGCTATAATATTTTTTTATATAATAAAAATATATATTTTATATATAATAATTGTAACTATATGGTTGTTATAGATTCAGCTACTCTGACTATAGTTCAACGTAGCACCAGATATTGTGAATATGTTGTGGAGTTCATTTATAAATGAATTATTAGGCTTTTTACTTATAACTTCTTACTGATGTCATTCCGATGTTTAGCGAGCAACAAGGGCTTCACACACTCGAAGAGATGTAATTAAAATGTTCATCATTGTACGTTAATTGTACAAGCACTTGCGACGTGCAAATAATCGGCGCTAACGCCCAAACTGTGATGATACTAGTTCTGCACGATGCCCAATGGTGCAACAGGGCAGCACAATGGCCTCAAAATAAGATGGAAATGAATTTAAAATTTCACCATCAGTTACCGAGAAAGGTAAGATCGCTACGATAATCTTTTCGTGAAGGCAGTGAATGCTGCCTTCACTCCGCCTGAGTGAATAGTAACATTCACTGCGCTGAGTGACTGTTATAAGCACTCCGCATGAGTGATGGTTCGACTAGATGCAGCTATAGAGAGAGCGGCACCATCGTTATAAGTGAACAATTCGTGGCCAGTTTATAATAGGATTTAACCATTTTCCTCTCGTTTTCGTCACGTTTCACGTTATTGAAGGAGAAATTGTGTATAATTACCTAAGTGTAGTTACAGGATGAGAGCTACGCTCGTGGTGTCCCGTCTTCCCAGTACTCTTTGAAACTACTGACGGTTTTGGCCTCCACCACCTTCTCTCTTAACTTGTTCCAACCCTCTACCATTTTGCAAAATAAAACTTTCTAATATATTTTTTGAACCTTTGTTTCCTTAGCTTGAATCTGTGACCTCATGTTCTTGGAGTTGCCAGTTTCAGGAATTCCTCTTTGTTAACTCGGCCGATTCCTATTATAATTTTGTAAATGGTGATCATATTAGCTCTTTTTCTTCTAACTTCTTCTAGCTTTGGCATGTTTAACGCCTCTAATCTCTCTTCGTAACTCTAGTTTTTCATTTCCGGAAGCCATTTTGTAGCATGTCCTTGCACCTTTTCCAGTTTATTGATGTGTTTCTTGAGATTTGGACACCATACAACTGCTGCATATTCCATTTTGGTCTCACTAAAGTCATGAACAGTTCCTTTAGTATTTCACCAGCCATATAATTAAAAGCAAGTCTGAAGTTGGAAAGCGCAGCATCTGCTCCTCGCATAATGTTCTTTATGTGTTCCTCTGGTGACAGTCTACTATGCGTGTGTGTACTCACCTAGTTGTGCTTACTTGTGGGGGGGTTGAGCTTTGGCTCTTTGGTCCCGCCTCTCAACTATCAATCAACTGGTGTACAGATTCCTGAGCCTATTGGGCTCTATCATATCTACATTTGAAACTGTGAATGGAGTCAGCCTCCACCACATCACTGCTTAATGCATTCCATTTATTAACTATTATGACACTGAAAAAGTTATTTCTGATGTCTCTGTGGCTCATTTGGGAACTCGGCTTCCACTTGAGTCCTTTGTGCGAGTACCACCCGTGTTAAATAATCTGCCCTTATCTACCCCTGTCAGTTCCTCTAAGAATTTTGTATGTTGTGATCATGTCTCCCCGTACTCGTCTGTCTTCGTTCTGTGCGTGTACTCATCTATATGTACTCGTCTATGTGTATCTGCAGGATCGAGCTCTAGCTTTTGGACCCGGCTTTTCTAGCCGTTGGTTGTCTAATGCAATGACTCCTGGCCTATTTCCCTATCACACCTGCTTTCAAAGTTATAAATGGAGTTTGTTTCTACAACCTGCTCCTTTAGGTCATTCCATTTACTCACTATTATTACACTAAAAGAAACCTTCCTAACATCTCTATGACACATCTGAGTCTCAAGCGTCCATTCGTGCCCCCCTTGTTCTGTGGGTATTCATTGTGAACATTTCCTGTTTCCACCTTGTTAATCCCTCTTAAGTATTTTATACGTCTGTATCATGTCCTCTGTCTCCCTCCTCCTTTCTAACGTCGTCAGGTTACATTAGGTTTTAATCTCTAAGAGTTCAGAAGTGGTAATCTAACGTCACCAATATATAGTATTGTGTGCTCCGTGGTGCAGTGGTAAGACACTCGCCTGGCGTTCCGCGAGCGCTATGTCATGGGTTCGTATCCTGGCCGGGGAGGATTTACTGGGCGCAATTCCTTAACTGTAGCCTCTGTTTAACGCAACAGTAAAATGTGTACTTGGTTGTAACAACGATTCTTCGCGGCAGGGGATCGTATTCCAGGGACCTGCCCGAAACGCTACGCGTACTAGTGGCTCTACAAGAATGTAACAACTCTTGTATATATCTCAAAAAAAAAAAAAAGCGTACTATCCCTAAAGAACGTGATGATCGTTTAAGATTAAAGATCATTCCGGCTACTCTTAGCGATGACCCTGTTAACGATACACCTTGTGAAAGAGGGGGGGGGGAGGAACCTGCTGCATGGGTAACAGCTTCTCCCCCGAATCAACCTACCCTGGCTTTGCGCCCTGGTGAGGTCACTCCAGACCGACAACCAGAGCGCAACTCCATAGTCTCCTGAGACTGATGGATGCCTACTGTGAACTGCCAGTATTGGGGGGGGGGGAAGGTTGCTTGGTTATGTGTAGTAATGTGTAATATTCTGAGTTTATAAGCCAGCAGCTAAACTGTCAGTGTAGCCTAAACTCTGTTAATAAAGTATATGCGAGTGTTAAGTGTCGCCTTCGTGTGGAAAATTACTTCAGGTTATAGCCTGAAGTATAATACCAAATATTGTAATAAGAGTATATTTAGTGAGTATAATTCAGTGAGAACTAGACTATATATTTTAATGCACATCCACCGACGAATTCTGGTATTGGGCTTAAGGGTAAAACAATAGGAAAAAGGAATACCCAGAGCATAGGTTCGAATCCTCATCACGGCGTCTATGGAATTTATCACTGATATATCGCGTCTCGGTGATGTCTCTTTTTTTTTTTTTTTTTTTTTTTTTTTTTTGAGATATATACAAGAGTTGTTACATTCTTGTACAGCCACTAGTACGCGTAGCGTTTCGGGCAAGTCCTTAATCCTATGGTCCCTGGAATACGATCCCTGCCGCGAAGAATCGTTGTTACAACCAAGTACACATTTTACTGTTGCGTTAAACAGAGGCTACAGTTAAGGAATTGCGCCCAGTAAATCCTCCCCGGCCAGGATACGAACCCATGACATAGCGCTCGCGGAACGCCAGGCGAGTGTCTTACCACTACACCACGGAGACTGCTTCGAATCTTCAAATCTGCCCGAAACGCTGCGCGTACTAGTGGCTTTACAAGAATGTAAATACTGTACTATCCAATGTATTCTCACAAACCCAATGTACCTTCTTGTATATATATAAATAAATAAAATAAATAAGTTTAGTGAATATTTCCGTAGAAAACGGGAGTGAAAGTGAGAGTTGGTAGAGAAGGGAGACTAAAACATTCATAAAAACATTGATTACAATCTGCTAGCAATCTGAAAATCGCCCAGTAAAGCTACCTATCTCCAGGTTTCCATGGTCACCCTTATTATTTTCTATATAAGAACCATACAAAAACACCACCAGCCAACACCCTTCCCCAGGCCAGGATTAATCAAACATTTACGCATCCCCTTACGAAACCTGTATATCTTTCCGCGATCATGGCCGCTTGGTTTAGATATATTAAACAGTTTATGAGCTTATAAACTTCACAACTCATGGTTATTATTGTTATAACAACCTCGTAGTGCTTCTAAACTCATAAACTGTTTACTAAATGTAAACAAAGCCTCATTGATATACAGGTTTAGTAAATGGATACGTAAATACTTTATTAGACCCGGTCTGGGGATAGTGTTATATAAAAAAATGTTTATTCAGGTAAGGTACATACATACAAGAGATTTTACATAAATTGATCGATTTATAGATGGAGCTAGTACATAGAATGCCTAAAGTCACTATTACGCAAAGCGTTTCGGGCAGGAAATGTGGTGGTGGTTATCTTGAGGTTATCTTGAGATGATTTCGGGGCTTTAGTGTCCCCGCGGCCCGGTCCTCGACCAGGCCTCCACCCCCAGGAAGCAGCCCGTGACAGCTGACTAACACCCAGGTACCTATTTTACTGCTAGGTAACAGGGGCATAGGGTGAAAGAAACTCTGCCCATTGTTTCTCGCCGGCGCCTGGGACCGAACCCAGGACCACAGGATCACAAGTCCCGCGTGCTGTCCGCTCGGCCGACCGGCTCCCCCGGTCGGTGGTTGGTAAAGGCTTTATATAATAGGGAACAAGGGAAGGCCAAGAGAGCCTGGAGGGAGGCAGCTTCACTTAAGTATTTTCAGGGCACCAGAGGACTGTAGTAATTTTTTTGTTAATGTTTTTATGGCTTTCTCCAAAGCTCTCTCTCCCGTTTTCTATGGAAGTATTCCAACGTCACCCATCTGGTATACACCAGTAACGGTGTATATGATAGCAAATATACATGTATTATCGGCAAGGATAAACACTATAAGATGTCTGCAGGCGAGGAGTCACAATAACGTGGCTGAAGAATGTTGACCAGACCACACACTAGAAGGTGAAGGGACGACGACGTTTCGGTCCGTCCTGGACCATTCAAGTCGATTGTGAGACTTGAGAATGGTTCAGGACGGACCGAAACGTCGTCGTCGTCCCTTCACCTTCTAGAGTGTGGTCTGGTCACCATAAGCTGTAACTTAGTTTGAGTTTTTTGAATTAAGAGATCACTTTAATCCTGGACTAAAGCTATTCTTGGTAGTTTATAAGCCATTGTGGTTATCTTAAAAGTTGTGCCGAAGGTTGAGAGACAATAGGAGGGGTTGAGAGTTGAGGGGGCCTCGTAGCCTGGTGGATAGCGCGCAAGACTCGTAATTCTGTGGCGCGGGTTCGATTCCCGCACGAGGCAGAAACAAATGGGCAAAGTTTCTTTCACCCTGAATGCCCCTGTTACCTAGCAGTAAATAGGTACCTGGGAGTTAGTCAGCTGTCACGGGCTGCTTCCTGGGGGTGGAGGCCTGGTCGAGGACCGGGCCGCGGGGACACTAAAGCCCCGAAATCATCTCAAGATAACCTCAAGATAATAAGGGGCAACATTGAGCCAAGTCTTACCGGTAGCTCCGTGTCGAGTGCCTCGATAATCCTCAGATTTCTTGAAGTAATGAAGGACGGAAGCGTAATCCCAGCCCGGGTTGCCCATCTCTGCCCAGTTGTCGAAGTCTTTCCTGTGACCTCGGACGTACATCATGAAGTTGAGGGTGGAGGTCCCCCCGACCACCCGGCCCCGATTGATGGTGATGGCCTGATGGTGAGGGAGGAGGAGGAGAGATGATTGACATGTGCGGCTCATCATTCTGTTCAATATTTCAACTGCTGTTGTTAACACTGGTTTTATTGTTCAAGTACAGCGAGTTGCTTTAATAATGTAGATGATTATACATTATAGGATTATACATTATACAGACCCCAGGAGGCCTGGTCGACGACCGGGCCGCGGGGACGCTAAGCCCCGGAAGCACCTCAAGGTAACCTCAAGGTATGGGTACAGTAATAATACTTATGATAATAATATTTATTCAACTAATAATAAAAGTAATAATGATATTAATAAAATTTTAATATTAATAAAATATGATACAAGTTAGGACTAGATTAGACAACATTTTTTTTAATATTATTACCAATATTATCGTATGTGTGTTTGTGTACTTACCGATATGGGCTATCTTCTTGAGGTTATCTTGAGATGATTTCGGGGCTTTAGTGTCCCCGCGGCCCGGTCTTCGACCAGGCCTCCACCCCCAGGAAGCAGCCCGTGACAGCTGACTAACACCCAGGTACCTATTTTACTGCTAGGTAACAGGGGCATTCAGGGTGAAAGAAACTTTGCCCATTTGTTTCTGCCTCGTGCGGGAATCGAACCCGCGCCACAGAATTACGAGCCCTGCGCGCTATCCACCAGGCTACGAGGCCCCTGAACCCAAACAATTTACACCCTCCCCCTTGTTCAACTGATTCCTAAATCCCTTATGCAGACGATGAGTCACAATAACGTTGCTGAAGAATACACACAATCGACTTGAGAAATGTCCAGGACGGACCGAAACGATTGTGAGGACTAATAATAAACAGAAGCTCCCCTATGACTGTAATATCCCCATTGGTCAAACTATTATGTATTAGCGACAAGACCTACCATTAATGTATGATGACTTACTTTAAATATATAGCTCTTGTAATAGCACTTTCTCTGTAACTAGCTGACATTGTAACTATAAGGTGTGAAGGATAGATGAAATTGTTTATGTAATAATCTAAGATGAGGTCTGATAAAGACCTTTTGTGCCCTCTGTAATGCTTTTTGCGCTACCGCTCACAGGATGGGTAACCCAACTACTTGGGCTGGACGGTAGAGCGACGGTCTCGCTTCATGCAGGTCGGCGTTCAATCCCCGACCGTCTAAGTGGTTGGGGGCACCATTCCTTCCCCCCCCCCCCCCACACGTCCCATCCCAAATCCTTATCTTGACCCCTTCCCAGTGCTATATAGTCGTAATGGCTTGGCGCTTTCCCCTGAAAACTCCCCACTCACAGGATGAGTATGAGTAAACCTCTCTCAATATACTCAATATGTGAGTATGGGGTGCACGCAAAATGGGGTGCAACCATCAAGTCGTCGTCCCTTCACCTTCGAGTGTGTGGTCTGGTCAACCTCCGTGTTTATGGCTTGAGTTCCAACCTCCCTCTCACCTGGTCCTTGAAGCCGCCGAGACTGTACTTCTGCTGAACACTCTTGAATTTCCAGTCCGCGTCACCCTGGAGGAGGAGGGAGAAGAGCGCTGGGACGTGGCTCTCTGGTGGAGGTTGACCTCCACTCTCCAGCAGCAGAACCCTCCAGCCTGACACCTCGGCCAGTCTGGCAGCCACAGTGGCCCCGGCTGACCCGGCCCCGACTGGTGGAGGAAGAGTAGTGGTGGTGACAATGGTGGAATTGTGGTAGTGAGGGGGGGGGGTTAAGGTTTTATGGGTGGTGGGATGGTGGTTGTGAGGGGTAATGGGGTTATGGTGCTGGTAATTACCTAAGTGTAGTTACAGGATGAGAGCTAAGCTCGTGGTGTCCCGTCTTCCCAGCACTCTTTGTCATATAACGCTTTGAAATTACTGATGGTGGTGATGAAGGGATGGTGGTTGTGAGGTGATGGGTTATAGTGCTGGTGATGAAGGGATGGTGGTTGTGAGGTGATGGGTTATAGTGCTGGTGATGAAGGGATGGTGGTTGAGAGGTGATGGGATTATAACAGTGAGGATGTAATGGTGGTAGTGGTGATGATACTAGAAGTTATGGAGGTATAGTAATCTGTTGTGTAGATGGTACCATTACTGCCGCTACGTCTACTGTTGAGTAGATATATTTACGCCAACCACTTACGAAATCTGTGCATCTTTCCCCAAAAACGGCGCCTTTGTTGACTTCATTTATTAAATAACTTATAAGCTCCGAAGAACTACGAGGTTGTATATAACAATAATAACCTTCGGTTGTGAAGCATCGAAGCATGTAAACTGTTTAACAAATGTAAACATAGCCACCGTGATTAATGACAGATGTACAGGTTTCGTAAATGGTTGTATACTTACTGACAATGAAGTCGTAGTAGCTCCCGAGTCTCTCAGACGAGTCATAGTTGTGGTTCCCCGTCTCTCTAATGACGACCAAGAGCAGGATACGGAGCAGAGACACAGGCAGGAGCCAAGTTCCGTTGAAGGTCATCCTCTTCACCTTCTGCAGGGGGGAAAGAGAGAGAGAGAGAGAGAGAGAGAGAGAGAGAGAGAGAGAGAGAGAGAGAGCAACTGCTGCTTTATTGGCCTTAACAACTGTTTGGTTAACTCCAATCGTTTCTTCAAACTTCCTTTGTCAATAGAGGAGGATCTTCAGAACTCCCTGGTGCTTCCTCGTCGACGGAGACATCGAACCCTGGAGGCTGGTGTTTGAGAGTCTTGGCAAACTGATCTTGGAGACGTTTACATTTCTTGAGGTATGGAACGTCAAGGTTGAGCCCTGGAAACACAAACCGAAACTGTCTCTATTTTCTGCTTGTTACAACTTGTAATAAAGCTGTTAAATCTTGGCTTAACGTGTTTATGACGTATTAGAACGTTGTTACATCTTGCTATATTGGTTGTTATAACTGGTTAGGAGGTGTTAAAACTTGTTCGAACGTTGTACCAACGTCGTAGTTTCGGTGTGTGTTTGGCGGGAGTTGACGCGACAGTCTCCTCCAGTTCAGAACGTCAGCTGAATGTTTTTTAAACAAATCCTGACACAGCCAAAGTCCCGTAGCTGACAGGCTTCAGGATTCGAGGATGCTGACCATTTGGTGCCTTCCAGGACGCCCTTTGTAGGTCTGATCGTCCGAGTGCTGACGTTTAATGCAAGTTCTGGTCTGAAATATAAATAAAACTTATTGAATAATATACTGTTATTGTGGTTGTTGTTGTTGTTAAAGATTCGCTACCTGGAACAAAAAGTTCCAAGTAGCACGGGCTATGGTGAGCCCGTAGTGCCTTGTTATTGTGGAGTATCATACACGGGTTTGTAATAGTTCTGATTATGTGGGTGTGTATTAGTAGTTTCTGCAGGAGCGATCTTTCGGCTCTTTGATCATATTTATTACATATATATTTCTCTCAAGCACACACACTGTCGGGAAACCGACACACACACACAACTACACACACAAATAACACAGTCTCCCCTAGTCTATACTCCCTTCAGGATGGAAAATGGGAGACTCCGTGACGTCATCGACTCCGTGACGTCATCAAAGTCATCGTATATTTACATTATGAAACATTGTTAATAGATTAGTTTAGTATCTAAAGTTAATAAAAAAGTAATCACTAAGAATGAATATAATTATTTACATCAAATAGTAGCTAGGTTCCCTTGTTAATGTAAAATTACTTTGAGTGAGGAACCAGAGCATAAGAGCGTCACCCCGGAGAGGAAGGCGTCCATACCATACAACATCAACAAAAGATGGGATGAGCATACCACGCTGTCTTAACTGGTGTAAACAGCTAGACACCCCATTTACGTGTCAACACCAGCCACACAGCCTAACAACATCACAACGACATCTGTATCCGTCTACCAAGTATTGTTTATTATTCAAGTGCACTGTTTAATATAAATATGTAGATGGTTATGTCGTAGGACATCCCCAAAACCACCGTACGTGTACCCCATTACAGCCCTCACAGTTCATGTCATACCTGTAATTGATATGTTTAGGGAACTTTGATTAATCCTTGCATCCCATACAGGTAAATTGTGAGAGGAGCTTCAAGAATCTGTGCAGACAGTTGGTTCATACACATAATTAACTACTTGTTTGCCAAGCCTTGTCCTTCCCACCAGCCGCCATTACGTGGCACAAAGAGGCAGGGCCACACCCATCTTGAGGCTACACCTACACGCCTTACTAGGCCCATTCTACTGGCACAGCTAAGACATTATAGCAGTAGCAGTAGTTATAATTAATTACTTATAATGAAATAACTGAAATAATAGTTTTAAAGGTAAACAATTGGTAGTTTAAGAAGGGACTATAACAAAGTGGTTTAAGCTACCAATTGTCCCTCCCAATAGTGTGTAAGAAGATTTCAGGCAGTTTACCAGTACATACAGTCCACTTAATTAATACTTACTTACTAAGAAAATAAATAAGACATAACTTTATTTTATTAAATCAATTTGAAAAGAGAGATTAGCTGCCTGGAATTTTTTCCCCACAATATTTGGTCCTTCGAACCGGATTATATTTAGTTCTTTGAACTAGATATTATACATACATATAGTGATAGTGCAATATTACCTACACACATTATAGCAGGAAGACACTGCTATATTTTTTGCATATTTTCTAGCCTAACTTTTCAATCTCATAGCAAACAGAACTTACAACAAGCACTATTATTGTTCTGACAGTACCAAAGGAACAATTGTGTTTTTTTCATTTCATTACAAGAGGTTGATAAGAGGCTACTTTACTTATAAGTTACTTATATATGTTTTTTTGTAATTATTGCATTATTATTGCCATTACTGTAACATTTACTGCATGCCACATCATTAACTACTAATTCTTGCACAAGGGTAGAACATTTTAGGCTGGTGTTGTACAGCAACCTAGTCTAATTTATTGTCCTAACCTGGTGTAAGGGTAAGAATTTAACACTTGTCTTGTGTTGAACACATATTACAACCTAGCAAGTACATATTTGTATGCAGTATTTAAGACAACCCGAGTTGTGTTGTCAATATGATATCAATATAACATTAGTACAATTTAACTATAATCATTTCACCTTTGAGTGTTAACCTGTGTCTCTGTACCAACCAAGAGTGATAATGATGGGCTAACTTGCGGATACCAGCATTGATACAGGTCTACCACTCAAATTATAGTGTGTATGATTTTACAGTGTATATTTAAATATAGTCTATACGACTAACAAGTACTTCCAAAATGTCTACTGTCAAAAATGTCCAAATAACCCTCACAGGATTGAGGGATCATTTATCACGGCAGATTAGCACATGTGATGACATAAGTAAACAAACTCCAGTTAACTATGTAGCATTGGAAAATTATCTTAGGCTTGCACGGAACAAATATGACCGTGTGTTGCAACAAATGAAAGAATATCAAGTTTTACTTCAGAATACCAGTGTTGGTGGAGAAACATTACAAGATGTTATACAAGAACATTCCGATTATGAGGATACAATGTTTACACAGTTGCAATACTTTGATGATATCATACATGCCCATAAAGCTAATATAAATATTGTAACCACAACTTCCCAGAAACAGACAGCACCAGAAGTCAAATTGCCATCACTTAGTTTACCAACTTTTTCTGGAAGAGAAGACGAGAGTTGGGACGGTTTCTGGAGCAAATTTGTCGATTCTGTGGATTCTAATGCTAATGTGCCAAAAACAACAAAGTTTACATACTTACAGAGTGTCTTGAAGGATGAAGCGTATCAGGTAGTCTGTAATCTAAATCACACAGATGATGATTATGACAATGCAGTGCAACTCCTGAAAGATAATTACGCTAAACCTGAAAGGACTATCAGAATTCTAACACAGAGACTGTTAGACATTAAACCTCCAAATAATACTGCAGTCTCACTCCAAACCTTCAGATTGGAGCTTGAGTCCATACTCAAGGCACTTAAAAATAAAGTGAACCTGGATGAGTCAGACTGGATAATACAAGTCCACATGACACGGAAATTACCCAGGGACATACTGGATAAGTTGTTTGTATTAGTAGGTAAGTCATCCTTGACTGTAAATGAGATTACAAAGGGTTTACAAACCATCATAGAACGAGAAAGAGTTAATCCAGAAGAAAAACCATCTAAACCCACATCTGCTACTAATAGTAAACAACAGAGTACAAACAGTGCTCCAAACAAAGCTAAAACATCTTCCCCCTCCACAAAGTGGAATCAGGGCAGTGTAGGAACATATGCAGTTGGTCCTTCCAAACCTACAGTCAACGCATCACCCAAGACGGTGACTCCTCAAGATACTGTTAATGTCTGGAAACCATGTGTGTTTTGTGAGCAATCACATTCCATGTACAATTGCAGACGCTACCCTGATCGTGCAACACGCATAAAACGACTCAAGGAGTTATATAGATGTAGCAAGTGTATAAGGGAACATCATCCCGACAATTGCACAACAGCAATGCGCATCTGCACTAAGTGCCATAAGGGTCAACACCATACTGCACTTTGTGGGGACACAAGTATAAAGTCTCCCAAGCCACAAGAGGAGGAAGGAGCTACAGCATCAGTAAAACTTTGTACTGTGTTACCTGACATAAGTGTCTTCACAACCAGGTCTAACCATAAATCAGCTCTACCTACTGCACGATTGATCATTAGAAATGGAAAGAATAAAGCCACCGTACGTGGATTATTTGATCAGGGGTCCCAACTGACCTTTATATCCAAGGAGTTGGTAGATAAACTGAAACTTACACCTGTAGAGGAGACACGGATAAACATAAAAGGATTCCTGACTAACTCAGGAACCCGAACTTACGGGGTAGTACGACCCACAGTACGACTAGGAGGTTATGTACGAAAGGTACCAGCACTAGTAGTAGATAGATTTCCAACAGACCTGTATATAGAAGGTCTAGGAACAACAGCCAAATTCCTAGAAGAAAAGGGAATTCCTTTGGCTGATAACATTACTTCGGACAACCTTTCCGATATTGGAATCCTTATGGGATCAGATGTCTACCATAAGTTTATCATAGGAAAGGAAGATTACCACGGTATGAACGTGTTACCATCTGCAGGTGGCTATTTACTAACAGGCCCAGTATTACGGCTAAAACAACCCGCACCTGTGGATCACCAACTTGCCAACACAGTAATGGTTGCATGACTAGGAGAACAGTCTCCACTGCAACTCAGAGACATTTCCGAGGATGAGCTTGATCCCCCAGTATATAAGTTATGGGACCTGGCAACTCTCGGCATTGTCCCTGAACAACCTAGTCCAGATGATGACTGGACTTATAAACAATACCTAGACTCAGTTATCTACAAAGATAATCAGTACTGGGTCAGGTTACCATGGAAGCTGAATCACCCTCAGCTACCCATCAACTACTTCATGGCACAAAATCAATTAAGATCACAGGTGTTACGTTTACAAAGACAACCTGAGAACTTGAAGTTGTACCATGAAATAATACAGAAGCAGCTCGATGACAAATTTATCGAAGTTGTAACAAATGATAACCCAAAGGAAGGACATTATCTGCCACACCACCATGTTCAGAAGGATTCTGCGACTACCCCACTACGGATAGTATTTAATTGCAGTGCTAAGATGGGGCAGAATAGTGTTTCGTTAAATGACTGCCTTCAAACAGGCCCAAGCCTAACACAAAGGCTTTATGACGTGCTGTTAAAGTTTCGTATAGGGACTTATGCATATACGGCCGACATTAGCAAGGCATTCCTTAGGGTAGGTCTTCAAGAAGAAGACCGGAACTACACAAAGTTCCTATGGATTAAGGATCCTAATGATCCAAACAGTGAAATAATCACTTATAGGTTTGCGTCTGTTTTGTTCGGAGCCACGAGCTCACCATTTCTGCTTCAAGCTACCTTGGATACGCACTTGAAGAAGTCCAATAGCCCGAACAAGACAGAAATTAGCGAAAACCTGTATGTGGATAACTTTCAAGGAACAGCCAACAGTGAAAGTAAGCTGTTGGACATATACCATGAGGCCAATCGAGAATTAATGGGAGCCAATATGCCTCTCCAGTCTTGGGTCTCTAACAATGACAAATTAAAACAACTGATCACAACTGAATTTCCCGACTACCAA